GTTTCTGTGGTATTCTGTCCTTACAGTCATAGAAAGAAAATTGCATTTGGGCAAATAATCTACTTTTACATCCTCTGCTTTCATGATCCACCCAGTAAACATAATAATTCGACCCAAAGTTTGGTAACCAACAGAATGGGATGCAGACTGGATGAGTAACAGCTTCATTTCCAGTTTCTGCCTGGGGACATAAAGCCTCGGGACTCCACCCTCCCACCCAGGAAAGGTGATCCTGTCATCAGATGGCCACACAGATTGGGAAATCTTTAAAGGGAATTATATGAACCTAAACCATACCTCCTACTGCCCACAGCTGCAAGCTAGAACAACAGCCCAAACTGAAGGGTTCCTCTTCCTTGAGAATGCAAAGGCAAAATAGTCACACAGGACACTGGTCACTTCCCATTTCTCCCATCTGCACTAAATGCTTTGTTCAGAAACCTGGAACCTCCTCCAGCAATACCAGTAGCAGGGTTAGCAATATTGAGAGTGAAAAGGGTACACGAAAAAGAGGGAGCAACATCTTAATCTTGAAGGTTGGACAAGACAGTTTACAAAAACCTAAAATGCCACAATATATTCACCGAATTTTTGTTATTAAAAAAAAGGCAACCAAAAGCAACAGGCACTGGACTCCTGCTAAAACCTAGAGCATCAATATCACAAATGAGATGACAGTGCTTTACTGTCAGTGATACTATTTACAGTTATGCAAAAAAATAATCTCTTTTATTTATTAATTGAAATTAAAGATATTCCATCATCTCTGTGCTCCTTGCATAAATGCACAGTGTAACAGTTTGGATATTTATATTTGGATTAAGAAAGTTACTGTTTAATGTGTAACTGAAATGATTAATGTTTAAACAGTACATTTCTTCCCACTGTGAAGTTATTATTAAAGGCAACTTGCAAATATCCCATGAAAAATGACAACTGAAGAGCTGGTGCTCACAGATGACTCAAATTTCTTTTCAAGGATTTAGCATTTTAAACTCACTTATTTTCTTGTGGGCCTCGTCTCTTGAATCACCCCAAACTTTAGGTTACTTAGGCTTTTTTGTTGGATTATACAGAGACATTAGTGAGATCATTCATATTCTCCCCATTAAGGTATGTAGCTACAGAGGAATCATTTATCAAGGTACAATATACAGAAATTTTCCAAAGTTAGAATTTGGAATAGGAAGCATATCTGCCTTCACTTATATATTTTTAAATAACAGGAGATGATCTGTACAGTGAGATACATTCAATCTGTGGCACTCTTTTCTCCATATCACAGCTGTTATGCTACTTTTCATTCTCAGCAAGAGGGGAATTATCAAAGAACCTGAGGAATGTAAGTGGAAGGCCAGTGACGCACAACGTGTGTGGCCTCCTGCCCTCTTTGGCCCTACCTGCAGCATTTGCACCTGCCCAGCCTGCAACGGCCACACCAAGCAGAGGAGAACCAGAAGGCTCTGTGACCAGAAGAAGCAAGAACTTCAACTTTAACTCAGACCTAAAAGTTTGCTCTTGCTAAGTACCACTAGTCCAAGAAATGTGATCAGCCCTCATCACAAACTGGGAAGCAGCCAGGGATGTCCTTTCTTGCAAATCTTCAGATGCACAAGACGTAGCTACTGCAGAGGTAAACCCTTCCACTCCTGGGGAGTGAACTATCTGGTTAAAGTTAAATGCCCCTAAGTGCTAAGCATGTGTGGAAATCTTACCAGAATAAGGATTTTGGTGCTTCTTAGACCTCACATGTTTCAGAAAATATTAAATTAATTTTTGGTAATCTGAAAAACTACCATAAAAATAAAGTATGAAACCTAAAGAAAAATAATCAAAAGAGATAAGAAAAAGAAAGGCAGGAAAAGGAAGTAAGGAAACATAAGATAATAATGTGATGTTGAGTTAAATTACGGTAGCCTTTGACTGATATTTTGCAAATAATTGTTTCACGTAGTCATGAATGCCAAGCAGGTCACAAAAAAAAAAAATTCTGAAACTTGTCCTCCGGCACAATTATGACTGTAATGAACCACTTCCTTTTCACCTTTTTGCCTATACAAGAAGCCCAGTCCTTTTCCAAGCTTTATCCCTTTGCCAGTTATATTCTTTGCAGATGCAAAATCAGATCTTTTTGCAGACTGACTACTCAAAGTCTTTCTGTTTTAACAAAAAACAGGGAAGCCTCCCAAATCAGGTAATTTTTACACAATTGTTCAAAGGAATTTATTGAAAGAAATGAGATTATAATACTAGTAGCTTTATCAGTTAAAATCACCTGACACTGACTGTAAGATATTCCTACTGTAAATGCTTTGTTATCTATTGGGCTGGCATCTGCTAAGTACATGCTTTTCACAGGATGACCTGGGGAGGGACAATCAGCTGAAATGCATCTATTACTGAAGAGAGGCAACTAAACTGTAAAAAAAAAAAAAAAAAAAA